AAAGTCAAAATGGCGGCGCTAGATATGGAGAGAGTTTTTCTCGAATAACTTTCGAATTAGTCAAGATAGGAACAAACTAAGGGCATCATCGTGATCCTCTCGTCAATCCGCATCGAATGATATATATGTTGACCTCGAAAGGTCAAGGTCAAAGGTTGACCTCAGGTCACGTGACCTCGAGGTCATCATGTATATCATTCGATGCGTCCTGACGAGCTGAACACAATGGGACCATCCACGCGTCTGTATTTTGTTCCTGTACGGAGTTATTGGCCAAAAACCTTTGGTGACCTTTGATGACGTCACATGACCTCACAGCTGCCCAACAGCAAAACAGACCTCAAGGTAGTGAAGGTTGATCGTATATGAAGTCATGTATGGTATATGGGGCCATTCCGACCCGTTTTAGTGGTAAAAACAGGGAGTTGATTTTCCCCCATTGACTTATAATGGGGAGGTCGCGAAATTGACCTGACCTTAGGTCACCGATATCAAAATTCCGAGATATACAAATTGTAGCTACTAATGACCTCATAATATCCTGCGACTTTCAAAGGCCTCCGACATCTACTGTAGCTCTGGCACGGTGACAAAGTTGCAAAAAAGTGACTTGAGGTTGGGTCATTCAAAGTGACCTGGTGACCTGACCTTGAAAGGTAGGAGGTTCAAACTTGCACACCATGTGTAAAATTGATGAGGTTATAGTCATACCAAATTTCGCGGCGCTACGCGCCGCGGTTAAAACCTCAGGGGGGGGGGGGCGGATATCCGGCCCCCCCGTCGGTGCGAGGGTTAATGAATTGGCATGAAAGTGATGTCGCTGGGTTCAGAAAGAGTGAAAATGAATATCTACCAAATTTCATCGAAAAATATTCACCGGTTTTCATGATATAGGACGTTTACTTTTGTTTACTTTTTGGGATCTCTGCTGTTCCTAGCGACTTTATTTGAAAGTGCGGCACTTGTGCGCAAAGCAGCATATACCATCGCGTGCTACCAAACGTTTTAGTAAAAGATTTAAAATCATTAGATCTGCGCTGACGTCACACATTCAGATGGGGCATTGTAATGCATTAGCCCCTCTGAATCCAAGTGCTGCAACTTTGAAAGTAGATACTTTCGATTTGAGACATTTCTCGATCTTATAGCCCGCGCGGGGCTGGGGTCTCCAGCCGAACGCGCGGGGCTGGGGGATGGGTGTAAATTTTACCCCCCCCTGTTATCTTCCGAACTAATGGTCCGATTTGGAAAATTCAAACGCCAATCGAAAGATCTCATCACGAACAACTAAAAACATGTATTTAATTCAAAGTTTGAGGTCAAGGTCAAGGTCAGGTCAAGGGTACAAATTGCAAGTTTCTACAGTATCGACCTTGCACCGTAGTTGCCGAAGAATGGAGTCATGGACTGAGACTGATTGCCCAAAACGTGTTCTTAGGCTACCAAGACAATATTAGTTGCATACAATATCATTCAGAGGTCAAGGTCAAGGTCAGGTCAGGTCAGGTCAGGTCACCAAAAACAAAATATATTAAAGGGCATGTGCGACACATGTTTTATGGGTCATTTTACTCATAGAATTCAATAGGCACACTCAATAAGTGATATGGACCACTTCTGGACGAGTTTCAGGTCAAGGTCAGGTCAAGGTCAGGTCAAGTGTGGTCAAATTTTGAAGTTGGTTGTTAAGGCCTAAAAAGATGTCTACTGTCTATCTAATGTAGTTTTTCACGGCGAATCGAATGGTGCTATTTTTGTTTCTGTACAAGGTCTAGAACTTCCAAAAAAATCATTTTTTTTTCAAAAATTTTGTGTGTCGTGACATCATAAAATTTGAAATAACTCCCACATTTTTGAACTGATTTTTTTTTGAAAATTGATATGTAGGTGCACATTGACCACTTCTCTGACATATATTCCGTTTTTTTCGATACGCTCAAAATTTTGGATTTTATAATTATTTTTCAAAAAAGTCAGTTTTTTTGGAAAAATTTGGGCCAAAATCTAAAATTTTCAAAAAACCGAGATAGCCATTTGATAGACAAGGTAGAATTACGTATTACCTTTTTGTTACGTCTTGATTCCCTTAAAAATGAAGATGTTAGCGGCGTTTGAAATTTTGCCGTTTTTGAGGCGAAAATGGCGAACATGACGTCACCAAAACGTCATTTTCTCAAAACATTTCCGAAGGATTTCGCCCAAATTTTCATGGAACGTGTCAAATTGATGTAAGAAAAGGTACTGAAAGTTTGGCGGCCGTTTTTGAAATATTGCAAAAATTCGCGAGGGGGGGGGTAAAATTTACCCCCCCCCCCCCCAGTCCCGCGCGGGTTATGAGTGCTCAAACCGGTAAATGCAAGCCAGGGACCCCATTTTGGCTATCTCAACTCAACACTAATGTTAGGCCTCGCCGGCACAGGCCATTTTGCGTCCTTCAACGGCACAAAAGGGGGGGGGGGTACGACCCCCACCCTCGCGTTTGGCCCCTGATCGAGCTAGAGCTTCGCGGAAAAAACGAGCGTATTGCCCGTCACGAGAGGAAGCCGATGATATCCAATTTTAACCCTCGCATGTGTAGGGGGGGGGGTCGGATGGACCCCCCCCCATGGTTTTTCGCGAATAACTCGCGTAAAAAGCGGCCGATCGCGACGAAACTTTCAGTACCCTCGCATTGATCAATTTTACACCTACCCTGAAAATTTCATGACCCTGACCCAAATGACCTTTGACCTGTGACCTATTTTCCGAGACCATGTTTGGCCGGAATCGCGATTCGGCGTACGTCGGCTCGCATTAGCCGCGCGTTTGCAAGCTTTTCGTGGTTTCAAACGTTCAAACATGTGATGTGATGTTGCTCCCATGCATTAGGGTGGGTGTCAAGGTCACCTGAAGGTCAGGTCAGGTCATTGACCTTTGGTGACCTCGGGTGACCTCGGTTCACTTTTTCGAGTTTTACATGTTTCTAGGCTAGTTTTTGGAGCTGAATTCGAATTTAGCAACCATTTGAACATTTACGAAGTAGTTTTGGTGCCTTTGTAACATGTTACGAAGCTGTCAGAGGCGGTTGACACGTGCTACAAATACCCGTCACGACGCCTACTGGTTGACCTGACCTGACCTGACCCGACCTGGTCTAAATGCTTAAAGACATCATCTGTGATCAAAACTAACACGATATTCGTGATCAGCACCCCGAAAAACCCCTTAGCAGCCACACTTTACGACTTTCTAATAGGTCCCGATTTTCCCGACTTTGGGTCATTGACCTGACCTGGAAGGTCAACCAATGACCTAGGACCTTAAAATTGGGTATCATCGGCTTCCTCTCTCGTCACGGGCAACACGCTCGTTTTTTCCGCGAAGCTCTAGCTCGATCAGGGGCCAAACGGCAAGTGGGGGGTCCAACCGACCCCCCCCCCTACACATTAGAAGCTGGAAAACGCCGCACACATGCGAGGGTTAAGGTCCTAGATCATCGGGTGACCTTCCAGGTCAGGTCAATGACCCGAAAACCGGGAAAATCGGGACCTGTTAGAAAGTCGTAAAGTGTGGCTGTTATGGGGCTTTCCGGGGTGGCCCCCTGTGCCGGCGAGGGTTAAGGTGGGATGGTCACTTTAACGCACACAGTGGCTAAGCTTCATCCTGAGAACTTGAACACGATTGCGCCGTGCTTTCAGCTTAAGTGTAACGTTTCACTGGGCCCAGCAGCTGGGCCGGGGCGGCCCAGCTGTTGTCGCCGCTGCTGCTGGTAGGGGAGAGGGAGGTAGGGGAGTGCGGGGAGAGTTGTATCATGTCCAAGTTGTATCAGGGCGAATTGTGCCAAACTTATCCAATAGATGGCGCTCGTGACACGACCAGCCGACGAGGTTTTCCGGGCGCCATATTTCCCTGTTCTGTCGTGTGGCTGGATGGACGCGTCTCGAGGTGAGAGCCGATTTTATGTTGTTTTTTTTAATGTCATTCTAAAAAAGTAAGTTGCAAGAAAATGTGTGTTTTGGGCATTAAGATGTGCACGAATTTGAAAGATCTCCGTAGCGGTGGTGAGGGTAGGTTCTAAGGCTGCGTGAGTGAAAATGGATTTATCCAGCTGTCCGCTGTTTTTGAGCACGAGGATGTTTTTTCCCAAGATGGCGGCGTGGTACATGTTGTATCAGAGCCGGGTGGGGTATGTTGTAACATGTATGTATGTATGTATGTATGTATGCATGGGTATGTCGCTTTTGATCACGGGTGGAGAATTAGGGGTTTTGGGGGTGCTCGAGCACCCCCTGAAATTCATAGGTCACCATACAATAGTACTCCAGTGGCTGCTTAAATTACGTCTGAGAAACAAACTGCTTTGCGTAAGCCGCGATAAGAGTGATGTTTTTGGGAAAGCGTACTTATATGTGCTTTTCTACGCAAAAATTCGACGCTTCCATTCGCAAGGTGCTGAAAAGCACCCCCTGGGATTATGACAATTCTCCGCCCCTGCTTTTGATCGCGAAAGCTAAGCCTTGGCTCGCGTTTGTAGATAGCTAGTCAATGCTCGTTCATTTCGGCACAATGTGTTTGCTTCTTTGCTCTTAACGGGCCACTTTTGCGTCTAGTCTGTTGATGTTTCGTTCGTTTCGATGTTTCGTTCGGATTGACCTAAGTTTGGTCTAATAAAAGTGAAGCCTTTGAGCATATACATTGTATTAACCCCATTTAATGTTGTTGTTATGTTCAAAACCAGTAGCAAGCGCACTCCCTGAAACGTGAAATAGTGATACAAATTACCCCACCATGTGATACAATTCACCCAAGCCATGGGGCAAGTTGTATCAAAAATATTGTTCTATTCGGCAGACCGTAGAAGAAAAACTGGTAGAGGTAGCGGAAAAGTTACTTTGCACAAAAAAGCAGAAGAATCAAGGAAGGAGATAGTATGGAAATAATGAGTTTATCACGGATAGTTACGAAGTTATGGGTCTCGGAGTAAAAAACTGATACAACCCACCCCACTCTCCCCTAGCCCCTGGCCAGCCACCGTCGGTGATGGGGCTCCGCCTGCCTCTCAGCGCCCTGCTGCTGCTGCTGGCCACCCTGCTGTCGGCCGCGCGCGCCCAGCACGACACCGACCAGTCGCAGCCGCCGCCCGAGAAACGTCAGCGCGAGCGCAACCAGTTCGTGCCGTACAACTCGTACGCGCCGCGCGAGCCCAGCTGCGAGCAGCTGAGAGCCATGTGGAAGCTCTCCAAGCGACAGCACCGGAACGCAGTGCGCACAAACGCCGTGCCCCGCTACCAGGAGCCGTACCTGCTGGGCCGCGTGCACGACACGCTGCGCCACAACCCGCTGTACGGCGCGCCGCGCCACCGGCCGCAGCCCACCTTCGGCACCGTGGTCAACGGGCCGGGCGAGCACCAGCGTCAGTTCGCCACGCCGGCGCTCACTGAGCTGGTGCAGAGCCGGCCGGCCGGCCGTCCGGCCGACCACAACCTGCGTGACCTGGTCCGCATGCTGGAGCGGCCCGAGCTGCCGGCGGCGCCGCCCGAGCCGCAGAGTCTGAGCGGCGCCCGGTACGGCCGCGTGCGGCTCTACCCCCGGCCGCGCTCTGACGCCTCGGCGGCGCGGCGCCTGTTCCAGCGGCGCGCCGCCGCCGCCGCACCTGGCAGACATCGAAGGGTGAGTCTCGGGCTGTCCGCTCTCGCAGAGGGAGGGCGACCGGATGTGCGGGGGCAGCGGGCCGGCGAGCTGACCGTGGGCGGCGGCCGATTGATGGCGGCGGCGCCGCGGTGTGCGGTGGCAGCACGGCCGGCGCCGCGGCTATCGGCCAGCCCAGACCCGGCCGCCGGGTCCGTCACACCCCGGCCATTCATTCGGAGAGCTGAGCTCTCGGGTACGCCGCCGGCCGGCCGGCGCGCGGTGGCCGCCCATCCGGGGCGTGCTGGCGGCAGCTCCTTGGGCCGATGAGCTCAGGGCTGACGTCACCCGCTCCCAGCAGGTGGGAGGCCTTGCGTGCTCTGGCTGACTCAGACGGCCGTATTCGGCGGCACCGGCGCTGGCTCAGGGGAAGGCCTGCCGGAATCGGGCAGAGGTCGACAGCCGTTTTTGATGACGCCTCTGTGCCGCCGGCCGACGCCGCTGTCTGATGCCATCAGAGGGTGGCCCTCGACAGCCGTTGGCGATGCGCAGCAGGGGGCGCCGTCAGTCGCCAGATGACGGCCGCCGACGCGAGTTCGTGGGCCCGAAGGCCGGTGACAAATTTGGGAGGACCCGTCGCCCGCCGGCCGCTGCCACTCCGACGGAGAACGGGGAGGGAGGGAGGGAGGCCGGGGTACGACCTTCTCAGAAAGTAACTGACCGCTCGGGTGGCGGCGACCTGCAGCGAGCGGGTGTCAGGCGAGTGGGAGGACGCGTGGGTCGAGTGGCCCCAGCTCAATGGGTATTAGACGGGAGTGGGGCCGGGCCGACCGGCCGCCCCCTCGCCGTGTCACCTGCTGTGGCTGCAGCCGGAAGCTGCCGCTCTCGCCACTGTGTAAATACGCACCGCTGGAGTGTGGGTGTGTTTGTGTAATCACTGACGCTCGATGTGCGCCGAATTAACCGCGCCGTGTGTCTGTCGCTGTGTCCGGCAGATACCGGACCTGTAGACGGCGGGAGCAGAGATCGGCTGAGCACGCTCCGGAAGGACGCGTCTGTCCGGTCCGGTCCCGGCGCCAGGTGTGCTCCCTGAGCCCACAGCTGCTGCTGGGACCCGACCCGGACACCGGACACCGGACACCGGACACCGGACACCGGACACCGGACACCGGACCCGGACACCTGCGCCAGCGCGAGGACTGCCCTGCCGAGGACACCTCCCTTCAGAAGACTCACCGACGCCGAGAAGGTAGCCCCGAAAGGCTACTGCGGCGAAAAAAGGAACGTTCCACCTATCGGCAGCATACGGCTACCGACTTTGGGCAGACACACATTATTTTTCTCCTGTTCGCACCAATGTAATGTGTGTGTTTCGTTCATTGCTTCTCGTTAATTGCTTATTGTTGTTTGTCTCCGCCAACCGTCGCTTCGATTCCCATTAATGCCGCTTGGGTCATATATGACCCAAAAGCAAAACCTTAACGATTTTTCTCAATGGAGGCAAGTGGCACTTTGAGGAACTTGTGCGTGTGTTTTGTTGGATTTGTGGGTTCAGTGGCGAGCGTCGGAGCCGCATAAAACTTGTGTGAGCTCGTCCACTGAAGTTTCTGGAGCCAAAGACGACGGGACTGCACAGTCGCCGGTCACTGGCAATGGCACGCCGCCCCAAAAAGTAATATTATATTATGTTTGCACCTTACTATCTGTTGAATGATCGTCCACCTGGCATTTGAGTTTGTCTGAAAAAGGCATGATGTATATTTTTGCCCTTCTTGTCGCCATCGGATAACTTTTTTTCCTCGATAAATATCATTGGGTCATAAATGACCCAGCCGGCAAAAGTGTTGTAAATTTTCTCGTATGTTGAATACAAGGGAAGCAACTGATGATTATACGATTACTTATTTCTGGGGGTTGTGATCAGATCCCAGTGGCGGATACAAAGGAGGGGGGTCATATGGGTCACTCATGACCTCCCTTGGGGCTCGGGGGCACCACCGACCTATCAGGGGCACCACAGGCCTGACAGGGGCACCACAGGCCGAGTGCTGCGATGTTGGGATATCATGAGCCGACCGGTCGTGCGGGGCCGGCGGCGACTCGGGCCTGTGCGGGGCGGGCCGGGGCGGGCCGGCGACTCGGCCGGCCGAGGGGCACCACGGGCCTCTCAGGGGTACCACAGGCTTGTTAGGGGCACCACAGGCCTGCAGGAGCACCATAGGCTTAGCAAGAGCACCGCAGGTCTGCCAGGGGGCACCACAGACCTGCCAGAGGCACCAGAGACCTGCCAGGGGCACCATCGACCTCACAGGGGCACCACCAGCCTCGTACGGGCACCTTGGGCCTGTAAGGGCTCCACGGGCCTGTCGGGAGCACTTCGGGCTTGTCAGGGGTACCACAGTCCTGCCAGGACCCAGGGGCACCAGCAGCCTAGCAGGAGCACCACAGGCCCGCCAGGGGCTCCACAGGCCTGCCAGGGGCACCACAAACCTAGCAATGGCACCACAGACCTGTCAGGGGCTCCACAAGCATGTCAGGGGCACCTCAGGCTTGTCAGGGCCCAGGGACACCACAGGCCTCTCAGGCCTATGGTGTCCCTGACAGTGTCAGGGGCACCACAGGCCTGCCACTGGCATCAACGGCCCCGCCAATTTGACGTTGCAAAGCATTGCAATGCAGTGCCTCTTAACATTGTTTGGCTGAGACCGCTATACAGTATACACAATAAGGTATCGAGCTAAATCGGCTTTCGTGATAACTCCTTATTTGTGACTATACTAATGCCGGTTGGGTCATTTATGACCCATGCTTATAACTTGAGAACCGATGGAATAATTTTTTAAGCTTGCACAGTTTTCTTACTGGGACCTGTGTGGTTAACATTTGTTAAGGGCAACTTAAGAATCAAAAAAAAAAAATTATTTGCTAAAACAGTACGGTAGAATCACATTGTTTCACTCCGGCGATCACGCACAGCATCGCTTTACGGAGTTGAGGCAGAAAGTACGAAATGTTTTTAGAAGACACCAGACCACTATAGGATCTTTTTAAAGCCAGATCCGGGAGCATCGGGTGGCGAGTTGAGGAACATGCCCAGAACACTTCAGTGCGGTTTCAAGTTTCGATGTTCAACGACGTGTGATGGCTATCGGGGCAGAACCAGTTCGTCAGCGAGGCGGTGAGCTGTTCGATGTTGGAATACATTTCGCGCCTCGTCTGTCCAGCAAGTACGCATCACTCAACATGCATGCTCGCCGATACCCCTGAGCGCGCCGATGGGAAAATGGCATGTGCGGGTGAGGGAAAGAGCGGCAGAAGTAATGAAGAAATTATATCGGCCACATTTTAGGTCAGCTCAAAGGTCAGGTCAACAGAGGTCACCAAAGGTAAAATTTCGCCACTTTCCAGGTCAAACTTCAATTAGAACGCACATGGGGGGGGTCCCCCCTGCGCCATTTCGTTCCTGTTGGAGATAGAGCTTCGCGGTAAAGATCAAAAAGATTCTTTGGGAAGAGACAAATCCAATGATACCCAGTTTTACCTTCTCAGGTCAGTCATTGACCTTCCAGGTCAGGTCAAACTAAAAAAATGTTGCTGTTTTGGGTCACCGCTGGATATCAAGTGCGCTGCTTAACATATACCGATGACGATGCCGTTTTCTGGTGCCAAGCCAGCTAGAACCTCTTTGTCACACTACCCGACCAGTTTTTTGCTGCCGAGGTCATTTCAGGTCAAGTTAGGTCAAGGTCAATGATATGTGTTTGTATGTCTGTGTGTGTCTGTGAGTAGGCATACTGATGTGTGCACCGATTGTTTATGTGTCCATATTAGGTACATGAAATCATGATCTGAGAAGCTTTTACCAAAAATGCAGTCAAAAAACATCACGAAAAGTAAATTCAGATTGCCTAAAACGCAATTATTTTGGATGACCTAGGTTGACCTTGACCCTGACCTTGACATCTGTACATCGTCGAACAACATGTCCCACGATAGGGGGAGGTAAGAATGGCAAAAAAGGCCGAAATCAAGGTGTCAAAAGCTCACAAGGCCCATAGCCAATGCAAGATGTTGAGAATTGGTCATTTGGGTCATGACATGACCTGAAAAACAAGGTCATATCTCCGAAACCAAAAACCACAGGAACTTGAAACTTTCAGTGAACATCAAGAAAGGATAGAGGAGCAGCTATAAGAAAAATCAATCTTCTAGCTCTAAAAATGTTGAGTGCAGAGCAGAAAAACTACCTGGGGGGTGGCAACCACCCCCCAACTCGCCCCATGTGCGGGCGAGGGTTAACCCGCGCCGTGCTGGGGGGGGGGGCGTTTTTACGCCCCCCCCCCCTCAGGTTTTTCGCAAATATCTCAAAAACGGCGGCGCTGCGCGCCGCCGTTTTTGGTACACGTGTTCCTACATCATTTCCGCACATGTTGTGAAAATTTCAGACCTAGGCCGTTCAAGGTCAGGTCACCAGGTCACGTCAAGTGACCTTACCTCAGAAAAAGTTCAAAGGCTCGCTATAGCTACACCGACTGAACGATCACTTTGAAACTTTCAGCGATTGATATGAGTAACAGTATGTATAAAATGTATATCTCGGATTTTTGATATCTGTGACCTAAGGTCAGGTCAATTTTGCGACCTCTCCATTATAAGTCAATGGGAGAAAATTGAAATGCGCCTCTTTTGGACGAATATCGTTCAAAACGCTCTCAAACATCGGTTCATAGGTAAACATAACACACTGAATAGGAAAAATGCACCTGTGACCCCTCTGTGTGCCCCTGAGGTCATCTCAGGTCATGAACGGTCGCCAGCAGTTTTTTGGCTATAACTTTTGATAGAGACGTGCTAGAGCGGTGAAAACACGTCAGATGTGTTCAGCTCGACGATACTGATCGACTGATATGCAACATGACCCTTTTCGGTCAGGTCATGACCTTGACCTGAGGTCAAATTTTCAAAATGACCTTTCAAGGTCAACGAATAGTTCATTAGACGCGTCTCGACGAGAGAAACACGATGCTGGCAAAAGTAATGTCATGGCGCTTATGAGTCAAAAGTTATTGACGAAAAAACGTTTTTCGTAAAAACGGCTATTTTTGGAGTTTTTGCCCTCTGGAGGCTAAACCGTTGACCTGAGGTCAAATCTGAGGACATTATTCAGAAAGGTCTGTAAAAGGGCTATCGAATGCGCTTTTCCGCGGCGCTGTAGCTCTATCGGTTCCCGAGATAGCCGTTGGCAGTTTCCAAAATGTTGAAATAGTCAACATTTTACCTTTGGTGACCTCTGGTGACCTGACCTTTGACCTGACCCAAAAAATGACTGAAGTGTTTTCGTCCTTATTTTTGACGCTCTTTCGATTGCCGCTTACCGCGTGTCGCTACGTGGCCCAGGAGCCGAGTTAGACGGGGGGGCGTGAAAACGCCCCCCCCCCCCCCCCCCAGCACTCGGCGGAAAGTTCAGGCCACCAGCACGGCGCGGGTTAACATCTCTCTCACAAAAAAATGTGCAAGTTTTTTTCACTCCAGGAAGCACGCTTTACTAAAAGCTAATAAGTTCAACACAACAATGGGTGTGTGCTGCATATCAGCAGACATATTTTCATGTGACAAAAATGCACAATTAAATAATTACTTTCAGACATCATCTTCCTGCTTTCTTCTTAAAGGGACTATCCCACCTTTAACATGGGGTTTGAGTTGAGATAGCCAAGTTTGCGGCGAGGTTCAGAAACCACTATCTATCTAGGTTGCAACCCCCGCGGCCTCTTGGTGTTGAAGAAATTCGTTCCCTTCATTTGAAAATGGGCCTTGTACAAGGCCCTATCTTCAACATGGAGCGACCGTTAGTGTGACGTCACCTCGTTTAGTCATTCTGATTTAAATGGGTTTGTTCGTTGAAAAATCGCTTAAAACTTGGTCTGAACTTTGTTGTGGTGCCTACAGAGTAAAAAGAATCAGCTTTATGACAGTAATGTGGCCTGGGGAAGGAGGTAATCTTGGGCTGTGACGTCACATATTTGAAAGTTTGTGTTTGGAATATGGGAAGCCTAAGATGTTTAATGAAAAATAAATGCCAGAACCGTGTTCCTGGTCATCCAATCTATAAAGTCGGGCACAATTTAACTGGTTTTAACAACATTTTAGAAGGTGGGATAGTCCCTTTAACCCGCGCCGGGCCGGGGGGGGGTGTTTGAACACCCCCCCTGCGGTTTTTCGCAGATATCTCAAAAACCCTTTTTGGCACACCTGTTTGTGCATCTTTTCCGCACATGTTGTGAAAATTTCAGACCCAGGTCGCCTTAGGTCAGGTCACCAGGTCACGCCAAGTGACCTCACCTCAGAAACAATAAGAATGCTCGTCATGGCTACACCGATTGATCGATTGCCTTGACACTTTTAGCGATTCATTAGAGCAACAGTATCTATAAAATGTATATCTCGGAATTTTGATATCGGTGACCTAAGGTCAGGTCAATTTTGCGACCTCTCCATTATAAGTCAATGGGAGAAAATTGAAAAGCGTCTGTTTTGCACGAACGCTATTCTAGACACTCTCAAACATCGAGATGTAGGTAAAATTGACAAACTGAATCGGAAAATGGCAGCTGTGACCCCTCGTTATGTCCCCGAGGTCATCTCAGGTCACGAACAGAATCTAACAGTTTTTCGCTAATAACTTCTGATAGAGACGTGCTAGAGCGCTGAAAACGCCTTAGATGTGTTTGGCTCGACGTTGCGGATCGACTGATATGCAACATGACCTTTTCCGGTCAGGTCATGACCTTGACCTGAGGTCAAATTTTCAAGTTGACCTTTCAAGGTTAAATTATAGTTCATTCGACGCGTCTCG